AACGCCCAAGCCAGACGCGACCCATTGCCGCAGCAAAGGCTGGGCCGCCCTCTCCTCCTTTGGGGGCGCCTTAAAAAGAAGCCTTGGCCGCTGGGTGCTGTCAGGCCTGCTGTTTTTGCGGGTGTTGGGTGCGCGTGCCTTTTGCGCGCGGCATGCCACGCCCCTTTGCTGCCCGGCGCCGAAGCCCCTGGACCGCAGACCTGCACTTTGCCAAATTCGCAAAAACTCATGGAGCAATTGCCCTCTGTNAACGCCCAAGCCAGACGCGACCCATTGCCGCAGCAAAGGCTGGGCCGCCCTCTCCTCCTTTGGGGGCGCCTTAAAAAGAAGCCTTGGCCGCTGGGTGCTGTCAGGCCTGCTGTTTTTGCGGGTGTTGGGTGCGCGTGCCTTTTGCGCGCGGCATGCCACGCCCCTTTGCTGCCCGGCGCCGAAGCCCCTGGACCGCAGACCTGCATTTTGCCAAATTCGCAAAAACTCATGGAGCAATTGCCCTTTGTTAGATTCATGTTGAAAACGCATGGCCGATTCCTTCTCTTTCGGCGCGGCCCCTTTTTTTTTTTGCAGAACCGGACGCGCCTTCTGGGAAGCCATGGGGGAATTTAAATTTTTCGGCATGGCAAAGGGCGGCGCACCGCCACGTAAAGGGGGCAAGCGAGCATTGCGTGTATGATTGAACTGCAAAACGAGCTGTCACCCATCAAGGGTTAGAACGCCCCCCGCGTCCCGAGTCGGGGGCTGGCCCTGTTGCGGGTAAATTTCAAATAAAAACGCCCTTTCGATGTTGTACCGCACCCGGGCTCAGAATTTCCCGACCCCGACCGCCCATTCCACATGAGAGAAAATGGGCGTGTCGTCGGCAAAGTTCTTTACAACACAGTTTTAAAGCCTAATCTTCGCGATGGCCTTTGCAATGGCAAATGCGAAAGGATCGACACCAGCTTAACAAACCAAAGTTCCAACCATTCCCCCCACAGACGCCCGAGAAAGAAAAACGCGAAACCACCCACGCCGCCAACCCACCAAAGTTATTTGGCATACCTTTCCCAGATTTTACCCATCGGGCGGCTGGGGGTGCTAAAAACTCGCTTGGTGTTTTTTTGCCTTCCCCCGCCCCTCTGGGAGTGGGCTCTCGGGGTGGAAGGGCCTCGGTGCTTTTTGGGCCCGCAGGCACTCACAGAGCCGCCGGGAAGCACGCAGTATTGACATGCTGTTCTGAAATGCTGTGAATGAATTTGTTTATTTGAAGGCCGTGCGGGTCAACAAAATTTTTCGAAGTGTGGCTTTTCCCCGCCGTTCCACCGCGGGCCGCCCTTTTACTGCACCTAGGCCTTTGCACTCGAAGAGAAACCGAGGATAAAAAAGGTGACAAAAACAGTTCGGGAAGCATGTTGTGAGAATATGGAATCCATACCCCGCGGGCTATAATACATAGAACCGCATTCCCGCGTAGAGGTAGACAATTGGACCCCATGCGGATCCCACACACCATACAGAGTACATACTTTGCGCTGGGAAGCTACAAACCCACCGGCGCAAAGCGAACCAGGGGCCCTTTTTCTTCTAAAGTTAGTCGCCGCGGTATCCTCGCGGTTTTCACTGTAAAAAGCCGTGCTTCGCGATTCGCTGTTTCCCAACGTCGTGCGCGAAGCCGTTAGGGAAGACCGGCCGAAAAGCCCACGAACCCACCACCCGCCCCCCAAAACGCGCCCAAAGCACCGCATTCGCGCCAAAGCATCGCAACATCCGCAAACCACCCGGCAGCATTTTTTGAAAGATGGCATCACGACGCGTATGAAGTCATAATTCTTTGCTGCCGCGTTCTTCTTTCGCTCCGGCGGCTTGGGCGCCCGATTCGCAAACGCGCCGCGCTTTCCCTATTTAAGGCGCGAATGCCGCCGCTGGTCGTTTTTTGCATACATATATATATACTTTCTTCCTCTTCAAACCCGGCTTTATCAAAGAGTAGTGCCATTTGAATCGCACTCCCTTCGACCGGCGCTTAGGCCAGTGAAACGGCACCGAAACACCTCGACAGAAGCCTATTTATCGCCGAAGCTGGGGCGGAATAATGGTTTTGCCCCCACGCGGCCCCTACCCACCGCCCCGGGCGCCGGGATTTGGCGCAACCAGAGGCCGAGGTGTGCTTTTTTCTTTGAAGATTTTGCGTAGAAAGACTCATCCACGTATACAATTCCGCATTTGACCATCACCATCCAGCGCGCCAAATGCACCCGATAAAGGCAACAACGGGTGCGAAAACAAAACAGTCTATGCCCTACCTTCCTTCACGAAGCAAAGAAAGAGTAGCAAGAAAAACATTATGGATTAGATTTCCACTCCAGCAAAATATAACGATTTCCCATGCATTGTGTCCCCGAGGAAAATACCAAGGAGCTAATGGTTATGAAACTGACGAGAAAGAGGTGCCAGCAGCACCCTTTGCCCGCCTCCCGCGCGGGGGTGGGGAGAGTTGGGATGGGTAGGTGTTTTCAAGGCTTAATCTTTGTGAAACCGTTAGCTTGGTAAATATTAAATGAAGCCGAAAAATTAGGATGGTTTCGGTTTCCGCACAAAAAAGATAAGACTTGGCCATTCCTTTCGCAGGCTCAAAAAAACACCTTTTCCACCCACACCGCGAAGCCTGTTTGCACGAACCCCCGCTCACGAGAGCACGGCGAACTTCCATTAGCGCCAATCATTTTCCATCGCAACGGCGCATTTTTTCCCAGCGGCATTGCTCATACAACAGATGTCGGCCTACTAAAGCCAATTGCGCTGGTGTTCTGCCTGGGCATTTTCCTCGCCGAATTCAACCCCTGAGAAACCTTACCGCCTTTGCTGGGCTTGTCTTTTTCCTCACCAGGCCAATCTGGAAACTGCAGACGCCTGGGTTTGAATCCTGGCCGAAAACATGCCAGAACGGCAAGGGTGCGCCAAACATTTGTAAACGGCTTAGAATTTCAAAGAATATCGACTGCCGAATCCCCCTGGAAGCTGCTACCTCTACGGTTGGGTGGCGCCACGGTTGCTTTGGAAGCAGCTCCGGTCATTTTTTGGCATATTTTGAAAACGGTAGGCTTAATGAGGTTCTATTTCGCTCTTTTTTTAATTGAGAACTTGCATAAAGAATCTTATTACCCTATGGTATTTCTGAATGAAATGAAACTGATTAGTTCATTTACCGCGCTTTGATTGCCACAGAAATGACCGAACGGAAGTAGGTTTTTTGAAGTCTATACCTTATCTTCCGCTATGAAGTAAAGGGGGAGAATGGGATAGACCTTATATCTAATTCTCATCGCGAAAACAATGTCCTTAGTTTGCATAGTTGGAGGGTCTTCGAGTAAAATTCAAATTCGATTTAAAGAGAAATTAAAAGTTTGCAAGTAACTGACGACAAGGAGGTGCTGACAGCGCCCTTAACCCTCCTCCCGCGCTCCCCTTCGCAAGCCCCATCCCTTTGCGATGTTCGTCGGTAAATCTTTCACCCCGCGTGAGATGCCATCCGCCGGATTATTCCCGACGCAGCATGGCCCCATGTGGCCCATGCCTTCCCGCCGGCCTTAAACAACACGCGCCCCACCCATATAAGGAGGCGTCGGTCGCTAAAGCCCCTGAAGTCGGTATGGCCCTCGGGGGTTTGAAAGGGCGGTTCTGCAATAAAGTATCCAACCACCCCCGCCCGACATTAAGAGTAAAGGGGGTGGGGCTGCCGGGTCTTGGGCCGAAAAAAGCCCCCTGTTGGGTCACGGCGGCTTTCGGCGCACCATTTTCAAAAAGAAATAATGCCGAAAAAGCGAACCCCCGCCGCACACACCAGACTCGAAGCGAGGCCGCCAATTCCCCCCACTGAAGTCTTGTGGGGGGACGTAACGCCCCTCAGTTTCCGTAACGTTTTGCCCCTGAACGGCACCGTCTTAGCCGTATGGCCGAAACAAACCCATGTGAATTCATAACGCGCGGCGGGGGCCCGTGCCCCCCAAGCATGGCATTGCATTCGCGCACGTTTTCCACAATGGCGTTCCGCCCAAAAATCTACGCTTTTACGCGGCCCCGCGATACGAATATCATCCAACCACGCGTGTAGAGCTAACTCCTGCGGGGCCGCATTACGTAGTTTAACGGATTCCGGGTCCCCAGCCAAACCCTTGTGATGGTATGCATGATTTGCGGGCTGCGTTTGTACCCCATGGGGTGCCGCGTGGCCTCGACCAGCCCCCCCCCCCTCCCTTTCCGTACGGCAACGGAAATTTCTGCGTGTCTTTTCCGGCAAGCCTACCTGGAAAAAAGATGCCTTTAAATCGAAAATGGCAGCTGCATCATCATAAACAGCACCCATGTGCTTGGAAATATGCCCCCGAGGGACCGCGGCCTCATAGCTCTCTTGTTCATTTTTTGCTTTTTACCAGGCAATGAAACGTCGCCGCGGCCCTGACAGTTTTTCCTACACGACCGTAAAAGGCACCACCCACCCGGTAGTGGGTAGCGTTGGTGTGGTTTGAATAATGCCAGCCTTCTTCATAACCTGGGCAGCCTTTTCTCTCATCCTCAAGCGGGGCTCTCGTTCTCCTGTCCTGAAATGGCCTGGCTGTTGCACCGAGTCCCACACTGTGTTAAACCGTTCCAGAGCCTTGAAATTGAGTCGGCTCTGGATCCAGCACAGTGAAAAAGTATCCAAATCTACCTCTTGTAATGGTAACCTTCTTTCATCGTTCTTATCGGTCGCCCGCGTGTGATGNGATCCAGCACAGTGAAAAAGTATCCAAATCTACCTCTTGTAATGGTAACCTTCTTTCATCGTTCTTATCGGTCGCCCGCGTGTGATGGGTGCATTGCAAAATGCTATGCCCTTGAAAAAGCTGTTCGTTATCCTGCCCTCTGCCCGGGCAGGCCCATGGAGACGTAGCCTATTTGCCGACCCCGTCTAAATATATGTCGTCAGGTGTGCCAATTTCTTTACCAGGGCCACCAAACGCCTTATGTAGCGAGCTGTGCTGCGTGGCGGCTCTAGGGGGCCTGCGTGTTTCCCCAGCTGAGCCAGCAGTCGGGGGCCGAGATCGTNTGTAGCGAGCTGTGCTGCGTGGCGGCTCTAGGGGGCCTGCGTGTTTCCCCAGCTGAGCCAGCAGTCGGGGGCCGAGATCGTGTTCGATCACCGCTGCGACTGCATGCGCCAGTGCCTCTCTTTTGATGGAATGCGCTGTCATGCCGAATGGGCGGAGTACATTTTCCATGCCTTTTGCGGTTGGCGTTGTGAGCAGTTCCCCATCCACCATTCCCTTGGTAACGCCTCTCGCCCTTTTTGCACCTTCCCCCCGATAACCGCGTTCTGCACCACTCCGTGGGAGTCGATTTCGAATGTCTTTGGGAGGGCTTCCCAATCTACAATGGGGGCTTCCTTGTTTTGAGGGTGGGGAATGAAATTCTCCTTCCGGAGTAGGGCGATTTCGCCCCACCAACTGGCTTTGACCCCGGCGAGCCATAGGGCTACCTGGTCGTTTTTTGAGGTCAACAAATCGCTGATGAGATCCAATTCCCATCTCCCCATGGGGCGGGCCTGTTTTATGGGGCTTGCGGCCGCCTTTCTTTGAAAACCGGCCAAAAACATCTGGGCTGGTGACCCCCCTGAGGCCAGCAAGGCAAACAAAATTCTTGCGTATTGCACCGCACTGCTTTTGACCAGTTTTAAACTTACTATAAAAAGGGGAACGTTTTCCCCCCAAGCCTCTAAATTGCGCCTTGCCGCGAAGTCGCAGAATCTTCGCATTATATACGCCCTTTATTCCCAAGCCGGATGGGTCCACATACGCCTGGCTGTGCGATGCGCCTCGGGCACCAGCGCTGTGACATATGGGTCGTGTGACCGTGCCGAAATTACTGCAATCTCGTTTTCGGAGTTTTTTAAAGGCGGAAGAACCTGTGCCAGCTGATCCCTCCCAAGTGGGGGGCGCCCGTTTCGCCCGGCAGGATGGGATGGTGTGCTGGCCCCTTCCCGTGGAGAATTGCCCGTTTCCCGGAAATCCGGCAGCACCCGAGCACCTCGGTAAAGATTCCAATGCTTTCGAGGCCCCGGATTTCATTGCTTCCGGGGCCAATAACCGTTTTTTGGCTTAAACTGGGCCCTTTTCCTGCACATAGCATGTTGTGCTGTGGCGCACTGTGTGGCCGCATCGAAAATAACGCGTATAACTCGGAGGAGGGGCGGAATATTTTTTTTTCGCTTTTTGGACCGCCTGAAAAACCAGGTCGTCCTCTTTTCTGTGATTGCCGATGGCGTTGGCAAGGGTTTGATGTTGACTCCGGGGTTTTTTTTTGTTCGCCGTCTGGGCCACCTAAAGCTGATAATATAGCCGTCTCTCGAATTGTGCCTGTTCGGCCGAAATTCCCTGGAAGCCTGCGAAAGGAATGGTCAAGTGTTACCCAACTTGTTAATAAGAGATTCTATACCCCATCATCCTTGGTATCGTGGAAATGCCCCATCGTGGCGCCAAGGTCCAGTACTAAGTTCATTTCTTAGGAAGCTAAATTTCCACAATTGCAGCACCGAATCCGGCTTAGTTCGGGCTGCACCGTGATGCGGTCGCTACCTATTGGGATAGTGTGGTTAAGTACCGTGCAAATAAGGCGCGTTTTGTAATGGGTAAAGTGCCTGAACGGAGAGACTGCAGGGAAAATACACGCTACCAATCAATAAGCTTCACGGTCGAGCACCCGGTTTCTCGGACTGGGGAATCCCATGCCATACGCCATAGTTCTCCCGGGAACTGTGCCATGGTCCGGATAGAACGCGACCTGGCCTTCCTTAGATCAAGCGGAGGGCCAAACCGGAGACCGCCCCTCTGGGACACCGTGCTGTTGGTGTCACCCACACCCGTGGGTTGAAAGATCTCCATGATCAGGGGTTTTTAGTGGGTATAGGTGGGTTTCCCCACCACCGAGTCCCACATAATCTGCCCTAGCACGGCAGGTATGCGCAAATGCATTTCCCCTTTCCTTTTCCAGGCAGCGACAACAGGTCGTAAAATTGCACGAGGAAGAAAACAAAAATAACCCATCATCATTCTTGTCTTCATCTCTTGCTGTACGAGAGCGTCGAAAAGTGTAAGTTCTTGAAACGCCTTCCCAACCCAACCCCCTCCGCCTCCGCGCGGGAGGCGGGTTAAGGGCGCTCTCAGCACCTCCTTTTGGCCAGTTGATAGCAAACTTTTAACTTCCCTTTAATTGAAACGTTTGGATGTTACTGGAAGACTCCAAACTATGCAAACTAAGGGCATTCTTTTTGCGATGAGAATTAGATATAAGTTCTGTCCTAGTCTCTCTCTTTACCCAATAGAGGAAGGTAAGCTGTAGATAATTCTCGTGGCGGATGGCATAAATCCATGCCACAAAATTGCACCATGCCTGACATAGATCAAATCCAGGCTTCATGGGTAATGGAAAAAGGCNGTGGCGGATGGCATAAATCCATGCCACAAAATTGCACCATGCCTGACATAGATCAAATCCAGGCTTCATGGGTAATGGAAAAAGGCGACAATACGCCGCCAGAAACTATCCTGGCGATGTCCCCCATAAATACCCCAAGGCGCCTTCAAACGGCCGGATATTTTCTTCTGGTCGGAAACCCTTTTCCACGAACTTATTCCTTAGCTCTTGAATTCCTCGCAACCCCACTTGGGGCTGAGCCCCTAACACATTAAATTGCCGCTCAATATGCCCATCCATATGAGAAGCATGTGCCGCGGTGCGAACATCTGGTGGAAGATAGCCGTTTCCACCGTCTGTCGAAGCTCGCTGCGCCGGCTACCCAATCTTTTTTTTTTTTTTTTTTTTTTTTGG